CGTAAGTCTTGCTGGAATCATTTATATCCGGGTTTCTGATATCTTCTTTGCGACGAATCTGAGTCTCTTCAATGGTAACAGTTGCTCGATTCCTAGAGACAACCAAAGCGGTTCTCGCAAACAGCTTCATATATGGTTGATGATCATTCTCTGAAGTCGGTCTGATACTATTCAGAAGTTCATCAACTGTCATACGAACAAGGAAGTTTGGAGTGGGATTTCTCGTTCTACTTCCCTTGAAGAAGCCATGGCCACCAGTCGCAAAGAGAAAGGCACGATAGGGTAAGGCAAAACTATCATCCTCAGCATCTGACTTCAAAGTGCTCTTCTTCTTTCTTTCGCCGCACTTGACAAAATATGATTTGTAAGTTCTACCCAAAATTTGATGATCTCCATTCACCAGCCAAGACTTCAAAGCGTTCCATGCATCAGGATTTACTTTTGCCATCGCGGAACTCTTTCTTCTACTCCCCAAGTCGGGTATCGCAATTTCAAAAAACCTATCACTACCGAATCTTCGTTCGAGACGGTGAGTCAAATCCAATCTCATAGGTTTCAGCTGAAAGGAGAGCAGGGGTCCCGACTCCTTTTTGTTTTCGAGCAAAGCAGCGGTAAAGACCACTCCATTAAAACCTCGAATGTATCCTTTCATAGCGACCTCCCAAACATCGGCTGCACATCTTTCCGGAAACTTTTTATCCCGAAGAACCGGAAGTGTTTTCAACATATTCCAGAGTTTATCATATTGTTCCCACTCTTTAGTGTATGGCAAGGTGAATTCGGCCATGGAAACCTCGACGAAGAGAAACACGCGAGTAATTTCATAACTGACATAGAAGGGAGCCTTTTTCAGGCAATGCGGTAATATTGCTACAGTGAAACATCAGCAACCTTGAGCCTGAGTGGCAATGTCAAAAAGCATTAGGTAAACTTACGTAGAACTTCATTCAAGCACTTCTCCGTTTCTCTTTGATTTGTGTTATTCATGATCTGCTTGAATATCTCATCGGTTGATTCCTCCTCCGTGTCATCAAACATACCATCAGCCATATCAAACTGAGGTCCAGCTTGCGACGGCACATTGGTACCAAAACTTTCCATCACTTGGCACACCCTCTCGGCTTCAATAGCATCAAAACTACTGCCGAAATCAGAACTTTGTGTTCTTGGCCCTTGATCATCCAATGAGTGGGGTTCTATCCGTAACTTCATGATGGGCTCCGGTTCTGGCTCGGTAGCTTGGGTGTTAACGAGAGTACTACTACACCCCTGTGAGAATATGGTCGATGCATTTGTCGTAAAACTTGTATCCCCATTTGAGTTTCCATCATCTTTCAGAGGCACCGTTTTGTATTGATCCGTATTTGTAAATTGGGACTTTGATACGTTCCATCGCGGCAACGGAGGGTTAGAGAGACCTTCGTGGCCTGACGACTTGGTCGCCGGCCCTTTCGCCTTTTTCATGCTGGGATTAATACTAGGAAACGGTTCCAGGCGATGCTTGCCTTCGTTTTTCCTAGCGGAGCTGAGCGGAAAAGGAAGAGGACTGTCGTCAGGCTTTGGTGTTTCCCCAGCTGAGCGGAGAGACGTGTAAGCTTTCGATGAACTATCTTGGTGTGAACGACTTGCTGTGATTGCGTATCTGAGATTTAGAACTCTCAAAAATTCCTCTTGTAATTTCCTTCTTTCGTCGGATGTTATTGGACGTGGCCTATGGCGAGTCTTGTCAGGTAAAACGCCTCGATCAGCATTAACTTTCAATACCCACCCACCATATAGCTTGTGAGCTTGCGCATCGAATGTTTCAAGAGCATCGAGCAGTCCGCCTTTGTCCTTATAATAGAGGAACCTGATTCGGGCCACAATCTTATTGACACATTCCTCCTCTTCCGATTTACATTTTAGTTGTCGCTGCTGGGGTGACTCAATCTTGTTCACCGGAAGCCTCAAGTCCCATTTAAAATTGCGACCCTCAAGAATATGATTGATTCCATCTGTGTTGCTGCTCCTCCCGAATCTGTCTGCCAAACTTGGTGTCCTCGGTACCGCAGACATTGTGCGAGTATTCTCCTGACAAGTATGTGCCAAGCGCAAGTGCTTTCCCTCCCTTCCCCATATATTAAAAAACCTTCGCTTTGCGCGTTTGCAGTCCCCAATTCAAAATTACATATGTCTCGATTGGGTTTCGCGCCGTTTCGTGCAGACGGACAGCTACGTCTTTGAAGGCGGGGTATTCTGTACGTCTAAACGAATTGTTTTTCGAAGATAAGAACGATGTATGGATGCCCATATGTCGGTAGCCCGAAAGGATCGCAGAGTAGTAGCTGGACTTGTTGGGCGCGAAACAAACGGGACGAATGCAACACAATTGCGTTGTCGGCAAGGCTGAGGGGAACTGGTTGGAGAGCAAACGAAGTTTATGGAATTGCGGAAACAGCTACGAAACAGTGAATTGCATGAATCAAGACAGGAATCAAATGAAATGCAAGCAAGCAAATGACGATAGAGGGAATGGAAAACCTGCGATAAAGTAAAACAAATAGCAAAAAGAGATAATAATCGAAACTATGCGATGCAATTGATTGATCGTGCCATAGTGATATTTTACCTGGTTCGGGTTGACTAATTGAAAGACTTGAAGGGTGTCCATTTGTGGAGTATGCCTTGTATTAACGCAGGTGGGTGGGTTATCAATTCTAGCTGATCTTTCCCATGAACATGAGGGGATACTATACTTTGAGAATATGAAATGAGGATATACTATCCGATGATGGGATTTGAATAATCCTGAGGCATGTAGATGCCTAGTAGGTGGACAGACGAGACAGACTCGGTAGGTAGTTGTAGTCTTCCTGATATCTGAGGACCATTTACAAAGAAAACTAGGCTCGGTACACAGTCTAAAAGCATTCCGGCGTTGGGTAGAGCGACCCCTCCTAGATCTTCACGAGCTAATAATATTTAAGTAAGAGTACAAAGTCAAGCTACGCCGTCTTTATTTTAGCGTCCAAATACTCTAAAAATCCATTTTCTTATTAGTTTCTTTAAGGTATTAATTCAAGGTTCACTCAATTGTTGCACATCTGAAGATTTCGGCATTGTTACTTTCGAGCTTTGGCACCGATAGTACCCATTCCTCAACTCCAGAGCATTCAAATCACCAGCTACCTAGGTAGTTAGTATAAACTAATAATTCTTTTGAACATCTTATTAGTTACTATACCTACCCTCCCATCCTCATTCATAACGAAAAGATTAGGAGAGAGAAAAATAAAAATAAAAATACAATAATTCTCACTGGCGGTTTTCTCGCCCATCAATGAAAAGTTATACAAAATAGGAGGCGAAGAGATCGTAGTCCTCAAAAACGGGATATACATATATATAGGTATATATATATATACCTTAGTGGGGGTTGCTGGTTTTTTATTATAGTGTCTAAACTGTATTTAAAAGAAAATATTATATATATAAAATAAAACTGTGTATAGAAAACAAAACTGTATACGCGAAGCAAAACTGTGTATACGAAACAAAACTGTGTACGCGAAGCAAAACTATATAGAAAATTAAATTATAATTATAATAATACTATATTAAAAAGATAATACTGTATTAGAAAGATAATACTGTATTAGAAAGATAATACAAATTAGAAAGATAATACTATATTAGAAAGATAATACTATATTAGAAAGATAGTATTATATTAGAAAGATAGTACTATATTACAAAATTAGTATTGTATTAGGAAATTGATATTAATTTAGATGAGATATATATTAATAAAAATGAATTTGATTATATAATCTAATTTAATTGAGTTTAATTATCAAAAAGAAATTATATAGAATAGTAGTGCAGTAGTAGTATATACTACTTATAATTTAAAAAAGAATAAAAAGAATAAAAAGAATAAAAAGAATAAAAAGAATAAAAAGAATAAAAAGAATAAAAAGAATTAAAAGAATAAAAAGATTAGGGAAAGAAGAATAAAAAGAAGAGGAAAAGAAGAAAAAGAATAATAATATATTTTAGGAAAAGAAAAGTGGGGATTTATTTATTTTTATTTATTTATTTATTTATTCGCGTATACAGTTTTACTTTTGTATACAGTTTTGCCTTGCATACACAGTTTTGCCTCGCATACACAGTTTTGCTTTCGTACACAGTTTTGCCTTGTGTACACAGTTCACTTTCCTACACAGTTTTATTTTCATATATAATATTTATTTTAATATAATATTCGAGTATATTATAGTACTAAATATAACTCTGTGAATACACAGCGTTTCGCGCACCACAGTTCTACTAAATTTTCATAGTTGGGATACTATAATAAAAAACCAGCAACCCCCACTAAGGTATATATATAAATTAGTGCTTTGGCTGGACAAATTTAAACTTCATATACAAACAACGAGTAGACAAGAGAGACCTTCAAGATAACAATTTCATCTCAACCCCCCTCCCCCCTCCCTTTCATAATCTGCATCCCTATCAATATTTCAAACATCAGTAACAATCACTTCTAAAAAACTATCATTCAATACAGAAAATTCTCTTCATTCGCTCACTCCCCCTATCTATCTATCCATCGACCTACAGGCCACACCTCCCTCTATACATTCCTTCCCAGTTAACCTCCTCCCCCTTCTATACTATAATACAAATCTCACTCCACCTTCCCATTCCCCCATAACACACACACAATTATTTTTCCCTTTAAATATCCCATCTATGTACTATCAAAATAATCACTCCCACAAAAATATCGCTCCTTAGAGCAAGTCCATCTTAGAAAGAATCCCACAAAAAAGTCCAGTCAAACACCCTCCCCCTCTCCCCAACATCTAAACACCTTTGCAATGCACGCTAGATGAAACCAAAGTATGACACATAAGTAAGCTGTACAAAAAGACAACAAGAATCAAGGAATTACATATTCCTCTACTTTAATTTTTCCTCCCATTCCATGTTCTCCCCCCCAAGCTCTCAAATTACAACCTCCCTAGTAACGACTTCGCTTTTTTTCTCCCCTCAATATGCGTTACCTCCCCTCCACCAGCGTCTGCATCCATATCTGAATCCTCATTCAATCCCCGCCCATGGTCAATCAAAGTTGGGCTGCTTCCCACTGCATCCCTATGATTAAGTGGATTTTTCTTCAGCCTCTGCAATGTATTTACCATGAATGCGCCGGCCGAAGAATGAGGCCTTTCCATTGCATGTCCCTCAGTCCCACCACTTCTGCTAAAAGGTCTTAACGAACTTGCATCCCCATCATTTTCCCTACTTGCCGGGGTCATCGTGAATGAGGCTTGATAGGGGGGTCTTGAAGCTTGTGAGATGCCAGAGTAAACGCTACTGGATCCACTTGCGGGAGCTTCTATACCATTCCGGCTAGATGCAAATGATTTTCTTCTCTCGCGACTTTTTGGTCGGTCAGCTTGATGGCTCAGTGATCGATCGGAATGACGGGTTTCTGTTGGACTGATGGCAAAAGTACTGCTCGCATCGCTATTATCATAGGAGTCCTCGTTGCTGGATGGAGGCTGACTGAGAACAACACTGCTCGTGGCCAATTCTCTCAAACGACTTTGTTGTGCTACGGTAGGACGATGTCTAGTAAACTTATTGCCAATGATGGCTCCAGTGTGTGATATCAATGCGCGAATGACATCCTTTTTGAGAGCAAGGGCAAGGTCAAGGTTTGACCAGGTTTTATTTCGGTATTCAATCGCAGGCAACCGAAAGACAAAATCATGTACATCCTCGATATTCCGGTCACCTTTACCCTTATAACTGAGACAAAGAACCACACTAGGAATTTTGACATAAGCGAGGGTCATGTACTCAGATGCACGACTCATCATTTTGGTCAGGTCGTCCGATGGCTTCTCTTTATTTGTCTTGCTGCCACGAACACCAAATCGCTTGCTTTTAGCATCTCCATTCGTTGACACTGGTTCGTTCATTATTGAAGAAGTCCCTGATCGTGTTACCGTTGGTTTCAATGATTGACCGGACTGTAAGCTTTCGAGTGAAGGCTTCTTTGAAATTGTCGTTCTTGTCGATGATCCTCTCCTCGACGCCGTAGAATTCTTGTTGGATTGGAAGAGTCTAAAATGATGACCGTCACCACTGTAACCTGAAAGCATACTGCTCGCTTTGCTTTTTGTAGATGCAGACGTTGTTGGTCTATATTCAGAGTTCATTGTTGGATGTAATCGAAGTTCCAGTGATCCTGCTCGCGTGCTCGATGCAGAGTCGGTATTATCCACATCAGTAACATGTAGGTTGATAGAATTACTACCCGTGGTGGTATCATTTTCATCTTCATCGTCATCCATAGGCATCATGTTTTTCACCATGAATGGAGATTTGTTTTTCGTGGCATTCGAGCTCGACTTGTCGTCATCATGTCCGGGAAACATGTACTCGAAAAGTCTCTTACCAACCTCGCGCTCAAGCTGGATCTTCATTGGGAAAAGATTGACCTCGAAATGGTCCATGACCGGTATACCGGCGATAGCTTCCAACATGTACCAGTAAACTCTCAGCATTTGTTGATTTCCTCCCTCGTTGAATGCTCCACGTTCAGCAGCATCGGAGTATGGAGCAAACATCTCCGGATATATGGCATCCGGCATCAGATTGAGCCCTACAATGTTTCCGATCTGCATGAGATTGATATGCGAACCATCAGAGTTATCAGTTCGATCATACTCGGCACGTTGAATTTGGAATTCCATCAAAGGTTCGTTATTATCACGAAGAAGATGCCAGACGATTTGGTCCGAGGAGATGTTCCATCTTAGAAGACCGCTAGTTTGCGTAGCATCATACTTTCGCTGAGAAGTTGTGATGGCCTTCATCATAAAGAAAAGTTCATCTTCACAAGCGGCAAGATCTCGATCCAACATAATTCTATCTTCCCAACCCTTTTTATCAAGCGACTTTGCATGAATTTGGAATTGAGTTTTGATCTCATCGAGCTGTCTAATCCGTTCTTGGAGGCGAATAACCATCTCGGGAGCCCCACGCAAGTCGCTGAAATCGGACGCGAGCATAATCTTTTCGAGGCGTTCATTTCTCGTCTTTTCAAGAGGCTCGCTATACATAAGCAGATCTAATACAATAATGTACATAGCATAATATTGCGATGAGTTACATAGAGCCTGAACCTTTGGAAACTCTACCCATAGATTGTCGATGCGACTCTCCATTCCATTTGGACCGGAAGCGTGGCCATTTTCGTTACTGATTTCATCGTTGTATTTGAGACGCAACGTGTTGTATTTTTCGTAGCGTAAACTTGCAGAGGTCTTTTGCACAACACGTTTGAATCCAAATGGATCAACTTGGAAGTCGAACATAACTTCCATCGGTACCCAAGGAGGCCAAGCTGATCCAGCGGTGGTACCATAGCGACTGTTGGAATACAACGCCAAAAGCTGAGATGAAAACCATTTTTGGTGTGTAACGAAGAATTGCGTACCGTCCATTTCGACTGAGAAGCGACGTTGTACAAGACCACTGACATCATCAAATATACGGTGGTTATCCATAACCTCGACAACTTTTAGCTCCATTCCTTTAGCCGTTACCATTACGACAGACTTCGGATTCTTCTCACTTTGAAGTTGTATTTGCGGTGCGATGAGTCGGACATGATAACTGTTTTGTGGTGTGAATTCGGAAGCAATGTTAGAAACTAGTTGATCAGTTGACACTCCTTGCATAGATTCGTGGCCTTGAGGATCATCTGCGTTTACAAATTTCTTCCCGTCAGCCAAAATCTCTTTGATACGATCCTCAACTTGCTGTGTCGCTGCCACATCTGGCACATCTGGCGTTTGAGCTCTGGACGCAAATTTCATAGAAGGTTCTCTTGATTGTGCTTCAGTCGGCCGGGGGTTCTTGGCTTTGTTTTGCTCTTCGACAATGTCAAGTATGAACTTTACTGCTCTTCGAGATAGATAATACACAAAGCCTCGTCTTTGGCTGACTTGGTGAATATAACGAAGAATGATGTTTCGCAATAAATTATTCCACTTCAATTGCATGTTATGGATGACGAAACGGTTATTAAAATCACTGACGAAATCACCAGCGGGAGAATTGTCATCAATCGCTTCTGACTCGATACCATAGTCATCTGTTGGACTTTCACCTTCACGACCAGCATCTTCGCCGCCATCAGGAATGATTCGTGGATCATTGGTATTCACACGCTCCAGCATACCATGTTTCATCGATTCCAAGAAGATCTTTTTATTGCGCAAAAATGGGCCATGAATACTCAATTGGTCATATTTAGCTTTGAGGGTCGGATTTTGCGGGTCTTGCGAATATGCCCACTCGGCTGACTCGAGGGCTTCTTGGTGATCTTCAATTTGCTTATCAAGTTGAATCAATCGGTCATTGATAAGCTGACATTGAACTCGTCGTGGATCGTCATCTTTACTCATGATGCAGAAGTGTGTTGGTTCGTTACCGAAAGGACTTGTTCGCTCTGGATCGCCAGCAATATTGTCACCGTGGTCAGTTTGTCTGAAATATGTGAAACGTGGAGCAAATGCCAAAGGCAAAATCTTCGTTTCTGGGTTTGCTTCGGCTGGAAGTATCCAGTCTAATTCAACAAAATCATCCATATCAATCCAGGTAAAATCATTGTCTGGGATATCGAAATGTGATAGATCTGTTTGACCTCGTTCCAGTTGGGATACCAAAGTAGGGGCAGACGCCTTTTGAAGATCTTCCGGTGTCGTTCCTGCAATACTAGCAGAGATGGCACGAATATCTGCCGACAGCAAATCTAGTTGTGCTCGATGTAGTTTCATGGCGCTTGTTTTGGTTTGAGTGTTTCGGCCTTTGTCTTGTGTCATGAACTCTTCTCTTCGTTGATGCATGTCGAGCATAAAGCTATCTAATCTCATTTTGAGACCAGTAGCAGACACGACATCTTCAGAATAGTCCTCTGCATCTTTATGTTTGTATACGTGGCTAAGGAACAAAGGTGCGAGTAACAGATTGTACTTGATTGTGGCAAGATGTCTACCAAATTTCTTGCTAGACTTCTCGATTCCTGGCCACAACGAACCTTGTCGAATTGGCAATGACATAGTGCCACCAAACATCGACCACCAAGAAAAGAAATGGGTGAAAAATCGAGGGGTGAGATGTACAGTGTTGTAGCTTCTTGAAGGCTCCACATTCGATACAGACCACTCACGGTCAACGGGTGCTTTGACTGCAATCGACATATGAATGTGGTGACTACGGAAACCACGAAAAGCATCATATTCCTGACCTGGTGGACCTTTACAGTATTGAACTTCCTTTGTCACTACATTGTAATGTGGCTCGAAGTCGAAAGAACGTGTCCCATCGTCGAGATCTCTCTCAAACATAAGACCAACCAGCCATTGAACATTACCGGATAGTTTCATTACTACTTTTTTGAAAGTCGCACCATGCGTGAAGCTGTCGGAGCTCAACACGCTATCATTATCCGTCTGCTCTGAGGCAGTGGCGCGAGCTTGATGGCTGAAATCAGGTATAGCAAGGATATACTCGCCACTATCCACAGTGATGAATTTGCGTGGATCATCATCCCGGCATACACTCAACCGCACATCGTTGCGCCAACACATAAGAAACCCAGCACCATCTCCGGTGACAATGTAAGGATCTCGAGTTCCTTTTAATGTGAAATGAACATCTCCGTCCCCCTTCCATGAAACGTCAATTCTGGAATGGAAACTAAGACGAAGCTTATCCCAAAATCCAGTTCTTTCAGAAGGATCGACTTGTGGTTTTGTAAATGTTTCAATGACCATCATCATATCCTGAATGGCCGGTTGATAAGAAGCACCCCAGGTTATACGAGTAGGCAACCCAGTGTTAATGTTGACTTGTATATCCGAATAGGATTTGACAGGTGAAACTGTCCTACGCACATCTATGGCAAATCTTCTTGTTTTTGACGTTCCTGGCTCATGATTAAGTTGAGGAATGATATCGACTTTCACATGACGAACAGACTCCGGTCCTCGAAACTCTTCAGCTATAACAAAATCCGTCTTGAGGGACCAAGCTGGCATTCTTGGTGACTGGCCAGCTTTGATTGCTGGAACGTGCAATAGAGGTAATGGGTAATCCCGCAGCGTCACTCGTGCTTCTCCCATATCGATTTGGACATTCATTGGCATAAGGAGTGAGTACTGCATATCTCGCGGCATACCTTTTCCCATTTTATGAAGAAAATCAGGAAGCTGGCTCATGGGGAAAGATGGTTTATCAACCGTTATATGCAGGTCACTAATTAAAGTGCTCATCAATGCAGGTCGCTGTGGAACTTCCAATATATTTTCAGTTTCCTCCATATCGTCAGGTAGTTCGTCAGGTCCCCAAAAGACGCCACGTAGATTTTTCATGCCATCCTTTGCAATGTCATAAATCCTGTCGATTCTTCTCTTCCAGCTCTGGGCGTTATGGCGTCGGAGCCTATCATGCGCTTCAGAGACAGATATTTTCGCGGTTCCACTTATCCCGCATGTTCCTTCAGGATCGTAACGGAACTTCCGGCCTCGTTGAGTTCTAGGTGAGCGCTCTTCCTGCAAGTCATCGCCCGCGCTCTTGTGTCGTCTTGAGGAATCTTCCTTGTTGTTGCTACGACCACGAGGATGTGCTGATCTGTTCCGGTATCGATGCGTGTCTCTGCGCATTTCTTCCTCTTCAATCTTCTTTGCTTTTACATCGAATGCCGCTTCTCGTGCCAAGCGTTGCTGTTGCTCAATCAGACCAGCTCTGTATATAGCACCCAGTTTCCACTCGAAGGCTCCATCTTCTACCTCGAAAAGTAATGCTTTACTACGTATTGACAGTCTTGGGATGAGCTTCGGGCCTTCTGGATGCTTATCGAGAATGTATTCGTTAGTACCCGTTTTTATCCGATGGTGAAGTTGTTCCACAGCTTTGAGTGTGTTGACAACGTTATCGACAATTGTGTGCAGAACGAGCTGATGCGGTACCGCCAGCCTTATGGCATTGGTTGTGATATCTATTGTCTTCTCTTCGTGCATCTCACCGGAACTACGCATTTGGCGTTTTTCGCGAAGGTCGATTCTAGCCGACTTTATGCTGGCAATTCTGGCCCAAACCCTCTTCATTTGAGGAGCCTCGGCATACAAGCGAATTAGCTTCGCGTGAAAGAAAGGTGCCGACCACCTGTGGCGACCAGCGTCGGCGCCATATATTTGGATCATTAGCTTGGGGTCCGATGGCAGATGAGCCTTGATTTGGATCAAGGTAGATCTAAAGTCTACGGTGACCAACTCCTTGACCCCGAAAGCAAATTCATGATCATCTTTTCCAGGCCACGCGAATCCACCAGGGGAAGTCACAGGCGATAGAAGTGTGGAAGGATCGGATTTCCATGTTGATGCTGATGCACTTGCTGCCTTTTCGGCTTCTGCAACATCGGCACTTGTGCGAACAAAAGCCTTCATAAGCATTGTCAAAGCCACACCGCAAGCATAGTGTCGATATAACGAGTATTGCACCAAAATGCTCTTCACGTGCGAGTTGAGATGGAATATTGGTCCTTGATTGTCGCTCGAAGTTGAGAGAGCAACCTCAAATTTAGGAATTGCAACAAATGGCTCTACTTCCCATTTTTCTGTTGACTCGACGACAAATGCTTCAAATCCACGAACGTGGACTGCTAATCGCCTACCATCAGTTGGGTGCTGATCACGCCTTTTTCTAGGTGAGGGAGGCATGGTAAGGAATATTTCAGGATCCGGAGTGAGAGAACGACTTCCTGCACGACGACGAATTCTTCTTTCATTCGACTCGACTTTTTGGGCTCTGTATTCGGCCGTCCAAGATTCTAATTGAATTGCAACACCCCGTGTGTCATCTGCTATCGATGCATCAATTCCAGCGACTTCAGCGCTGAAATCAGAGCCCTGTAGTTGAAAATGCAACAACCAAGGAGGTAGCGCACGGATAAAATTTGGGTCTCGAGAACTTTTAGAGTGAGGTTTCTTATCTGGTTCAACATTGAGCCTGAGCTGGCGAACGATTTGGCGAACACCGTCACTAATCTCGGGTCGAACCATATGTACCGAAAATGTTTGAACATTACCCGTAGCGACAACATAAACTTCTGGATTAGCACTGACCGAGACTTTCAGATCGAGTGTTTCAATTTGAAGCAAGTCAAATCTAGATCCGGAGCAGGTTTGGTAATAGAGATCCTGGGACTGTAGTCGTAACGTAGATCCAAGACTGTAATGCAATTCTCCCACCGCGGAATGCGAAGATTCTATATCCAGAGATATGGAGGATAGAGAAGATATGATAAGATCGAAATCATCTTCGTCTGCGGTTTCTTCCACAGGGGGTAAAGCAATCCGAAGAACAGGCTCATGCATCGATAATTTGACATTAGCTTTAGGTAACAACCGAGATATTAGTATATGACTTTCGGGTGTGTTATTCTTCTTAGATTTTGGCTTTGATTTTGTCATGGCTAAAACAAGGGGGAGATGTCTCGGATCAAGATCAATAGAGGGTGATGTGACGACGGCATTAGCGAACAAAATATTTGCGTTTCGCTCGTCCGCACTGTTATCCGCAGCAAATTGAACGGTTTTTGATAGAGATGTAGTTCGAATTGTGGTAGTTGCCATTGGAACATAGACTAGTCTGTCGGATTTTCCCCGACCATCATCAACTCCGATAGAGATAGAAAGGGCCGCAATAAGAGCCTGATGGGCAATATCTTTGGAGGAAAAATACATTCGGTGGGCGGGAGACTTTTGATCCAAACGATGAAGGTCCACTCCGACCTCCTTCATAGAAGCATTGAGATACATTGGCGAACCTGAAGGTTGTATTGACGTAATCTTCTTACTGAATCCAATGTAGCTCACTGCAAACTGCACTTCCTTTATACCCCGAAGAATAGAGCTCGCAAACTCTTTAGAATCCGACACCGTCTGGACAAGATTTTCCTCTTCGCTGCCAGGCCTTTCGAGTTCCCCGACAACGCTTGCCACAGATATCTCCTTGGGTGCAGTTTTTGCGTCCTTGGATTTGCGCGGTTTGCGACAACCCTTATATTTGTCTATACACGTACTTATATCGTCATATGGTATATGGACTCGGCCTAGCTTCAAGGCGATTGCTGCTTCTCGCAGACCATCAAGTTCCTTGTACAGTATTCCGTGTATGTTCAATGTAAGGTGATCCAATACCTCCAAAGAGTCCCCTCCCTCCGGTGTGAACAGAACGCTGCGGATGGTTAGCATCCATTCCGCTGGACTCTGATTACTGTTTGCCTGCTTCACATGTGTAAACATCCTTCCACGATCAACTGTTTTCCTCCTGGTATCCACTGCCATTGTAAAACTTCCCAACTGTATGTTACCAACATCAACTATGGTGACCGACGAATTCGAGGCCACGACATCCACCATGCGAATCCAATTTATATTTCGGTGTAAACGTTTAATTCGATTCTTGATGCTCGTAAGTTGCTCCCACATTTTGCTGCGCTGCGGCTTGAAGGAGGTGGCACGCCGAGATAGTGGTTTGATCTCGGGCTCGACCTCGCGACCTGAGCCATCCTTCTTTTCTTCTTCCACCCCTCCATTCTCCTCAGGAATGCGTGCCGATTTGTCTCCATCTAAAACCTTCAGATCCAGAGTAACTGCCAGCTCCGTCAAAACAATGCTGAGCCATGTCGGTTGTGCGAAGGTAGGTCGATGAACGTTTATTCCCAGACCTCGAATCTCAAGCTTGATCCCATCTTTCGGGGTAAATGCGAGTCTCCTCAGGGAGAAGTAACCGATGCGCTGAATAGATATGCCTGTTATAATTCGTATTATGGCGAAAAGTACAAAGGAGGATAGGTATAGGAGGACTATCACCCCAAAGATGAAGGTGGGATTTAACAATGCCATGGCAACTTAAGTGTCAGTCGCAAAGCGCCATTCGCATAGTTTCGTGGCCGGCATATAAATAAACAAAACCCTCAGACTTCCTCCAACAAAGATACTTTTGATATTAGCAAGAAAGTAAATTCCATTCGCGCGTTTTCATTGCTGAGAAAGTATTGTAAATGAAGTTCCGAGTGGGGAATTTGGGCAAATTGAGCTCAAATGTGTCTAATTGGAATTTCCAGCTCCCGAATGTGTCGTCTGAGCAAGCCAGCCAGCAAATCAACCTTATTGCGTAGGTAGGTAAGGTAAGCAAAGAAAAGAAAGCTACAAAGAGTTTTCGAGTGCTAGGTAGGTACGTATAGATAGAATGATAAAAAGTTACTGGCTGATGGATTTATTTTCCTTAAGCTATTTTTGTAATAGTTTCCAAGCTAGTAAAATAGGTATTAGGGAGGGAGTAGGCACATCCGCTTTGTAGTAGCTTACAAAAGGGTACTTACTCACGGTAGATACTCGTAGGTACTTTATACTCCGTGATGGACTCTTGACCGTTGACGATTACCTACCTGGGACATTCATACATACTAGGTCGGTCTCCTTTATATCGTGTTTGTGAATTGTGGATGGATGGATGAATGAATGGATGGATGAATGAATGAATGGGTGAATGAACGATCACAAAGCGGGCTGTTTACTTTTCTAGATGAAATCGTATCTTCAATGCATATTGTATACTAGCTACCCCGTCCATTTTCACCGGTATCTGTGAATTTATGAACACTCCGTACGCATGCGGCGTATAGAATGCGTATAGAACCTTGGAACGCGTAGAGAATGAACTTGGATGAATTCCTGACATTGTTGGTGGACGAAAAGGGATGAAATGATGTTGATAAGATCCAATTCGGCGATAAATACCCTTTTCTCCGTATGGGCAATTATGGAGATGGATCAGAGAAGAAGGGAATGGCAATCTCGAAGTAATATGGAGGAATATCCAAATATCAATGTGGGACTGACCCAAATTTATTTATTGTTTGCAAAAGAAAGGGTTCGTTTCGGCCACAACTTCACCGGATCCCCCTTGAAATTGATTCTAGAATTCGTTTTGATTCCCTGGGCTCCTGGCTTATGTTTCAATCATTTCTAAACAAACTGGAGCAACTTAAAATGACGAGATTTCAACTTGGCAGGGGATTTTGAGACTTCTCCTGTCATATGAAGCCGTTGATCAAAGTACAACGTTGAAGCGTATATGTGGGTAGGTAAAGTATAATAATAATAAGTATACTTAGTACTACTACTACCTACTCCTTCTCCTGCTTGTAGTACACTTCGGGGTGGACGAGATAAACGAGACACCAAGAACAAATTTCCTTTTTTCTAAAATCAATAATAAATTAACAGATCAATATTCTGCTCTGAAAATGAAATATATATGTTAAAAAGCCAACAATTGAATGAGATCTCAAGTCTTTTATTCTTGTTATATTATTCACACTTATCGTGAGTGAATGGAATTATACACCAACCTGCACCTGCCACATAAGATTATATGCGAACTACTATACGCACGAGTATACACACGACTATACACGACTATACGCACTACACAGACTAATAACATACGAATTGCTATACGAGCTAACAACACCATTGATCAGTTGATTGTACTGCTAGATGTACCTATTAAAGTAGCTATTTTGTATCTTAACAAAGTATCAATCCTACAAGAAATCGACAACGGTCCAATTGAGTTTCGTTGTCAATCCTGAGGTCACTTAAGTATTTGACAAAGTAGGTAGGTACGACTCCCTTAAGCTCCCCAGTTCTTTTGTTGATATCGCAATTGCAAACTCCCCCATCATCTATCTCAACCTATCACCCTCTTCTCAAAATTTCTATTTAACACTGCCACTCAACATATCTACCTAGGTAGTATTCATCGCCAGGGACTAGTAAACCACACCGTGCCCTGAAATCTGTTCACTCATTCCTCCTCACCATCTCTTCTTACCTTTTCATTTCTAAGAACAAACCACAACGTGTCCCGAGATCTGTTCATTTGATTCCTCTCTCCATTTATGACTCACGCAATTCCAATTTCTCGCAATGATAAAGTGAAGCTTTCTTCCTTTTCCAATTCCAAAAATTGAATGTTTCAAACTAGACCTTGAATATCCATACACCATCAGAAATCAAGTCTCAAGTCTCAATCATGAATCGTCGTATCGTTGTATTTTCTGGCGGAAGTGCCGCCAACAGTCTGGTGGATGTTTTTGGGAAAGTTGCCGAAGAAAAGGCCTGTTCTCTGAGTTAGTAAGTGCAAATTTATCTCATGGAACTGTGTATGAGGAAATGAAATTAATGTTTCTTCAGTGTCATTCCGATTAGTGATAATGGAGGCTCTTCCTCTGAACTTATTCGTGTCTTTGGTGGTCCTGGTATCGGTGATGTGAGAAGTATGTTACCATCTCATATATCTCAGTTCAGATGCCTCTCGATGTGCCTTTAGGATAGGCTGTTTCTCTATCAAACTCTTTCCAAGTCTTCATGAAGACCCTTCATCTGAGTGGATGCTTTGGGTCACGTGCTACAATACTATCCAGTCTGACTTGAGCCGTCGTGCTATCAAACGGTTGAACTTATGATACTACCAAGGGGTCGAGCCCATGACAATTACAATCATGCGAATCAAAATATCCAAGACAACTCAAACAAAAGATTAACCAATATCTAGGTAGACTAGTCCGACTTATCCCCGAAGATTCCACTGGCACTAATCCCGAAAGATCCGCTCTAAGCACTTTCTTCAACCATCGTCTAGATCCCTCCCCCCAAGAGGCCAAACATGAATGGCTAGCCATAGTCGAAGGTCACTCTCCTCTATGGAGCGACATCACTTCTGCCAAGCGTGAACTAATTCGTTCCTTCCTCAATACTATTAACCTCGAGATTGTCAAGCGAGCTCGTCCCACCTCTGTATTCAATTTTCAATCAGCTTCTGTGGGCAACTTGTTCTTGACAGGTGCTCGTATCTTTACAGGAAGTTTTGAGGCGGCAATTTATCTTTTATCAAGTATTACCGGTGTGAGAGATAATGTTGAGGTTATCCCGGCTATCAATAGTAATTTTTCATATCATATTTCTGCAGGATTACGAGACGGTAAGATCCACCCACCCAGCTCTCACCACTTACATGAAATACTCGTCATCTTCAATTTCTAACATATTCTTAGGTACAATAATCGTTGGACAAAATAACATCTCCCACCCCATAGCTCCCACCTTCGTCCCTACGCAGCCTGTTTCTCCCGCCACCTTCCACAAGCGTCAATCCATTGACCTTCTATACCACGATCGTATCGAAGACGCCAATCTCCCAGGCTCCCTTCCCACCCTCCGCAAACAAAATATCCTCTTTCAAAAATCTCACACCGAGGAGCTGTCCTCTGCCATTGAGCGAATCTGGTACATCAACCCCTATGGCCAAGAAATTCGTCCTACGCCCAATACCAAAGTCATTTCTGCTCTCCAGGACGCTAGTTGCGTAATTTATAGTATCGGCTCTTTATACACTTCTATTCTACCTTGCTTGATATTAAGAGATGTAGGACCTGCGATTGCGGATCCGAAAATTAAGTTTAAAGTCCTTATTTTGAATGGGTGTCTAGATCGCGAGACGCCGGGGTATACGGCGAAAGATTTTATCCAGGCAATTGTTCACGGTTGTACTGGGAATGGAAAGGAAGAACATGATCACGAACAAGAACATCATGAAAAAGTAAAAGAGCAAGAATGGAAAAAATACATCACGCATGTAGTATATCTAGAAGGCCCAGGTACACCGATGGTAGACAAGGCGGAGCTCAAGAGATTGGGTATCGAAGCTGTGAGAGTCTATGGACGAAGATCGGATTCTGGGAAAGAGGGACAGGCTGTAATATTGAAGAATCCGGTTATTGATGCGGTGAAGAGTGAGGATGTGGGGAATGGAACTGAAAATAAGGTGAGAGAGGACATTGTGGGAGCCATAGATAGAGATGATAGTTCGGGAATGAGGTATGATGGAGTTGGCTTGGGACAGGCGTTGAATGCTATTTTGGGAGGTAAACCGGAGAAGTCGAGGAGATATACTTTTATTGGTTGATTGTGAATTGAATGGTTGGTTCATGCTTGGTTTACATTTGATGGTTGGTTGGGCAGTTCTTGTTTGGGCGGTCATTGCGGATAGATCGGAGATGGAGTGAGTCTTATTCTTATACCACGAAATTGTACTTTTAACCCTGGAAATATATCTTTACGTTCTCATCTACCGATTATCAAACTATTAAGTACAATCAACAAACTTAATTTACGCAACCAAACTATCACATCAAATAGACATATCAAAATTTACCCATCCCCCTCCTTTTCACACCCCAACCCCAAACACACGCACATCATCACTCTCATCCCCCCTCCCCATCACTCTCCATCACTCCCCAACCTCCGGCCCGCTCAAAGCCTCCTCATCCTCATCCATTTCAGGATCCGGAATCCTCATCCCCCAATTATACGTCTCGGGATCCAAGCCCGCCTCCAACATTTTCCAATAATTCTCCTCACCCATCCACATATGACCCAAGCGATCATAATACTTCAAAAGGCCCAAATTCCTCGCAATAGCACCTGGGGCCTCGATTCTCCGATCCGGAATATTCACACTGGGTCTCTGATCGATCATGGGCGGACCATGCGGGTATCGTTCCGGAACCTGCGGCTGCGAGCGCGGATACACGCTGTGTTCGTGTTCGGGCAGATCGTCGCCGTTGTAGATTGTGTCCTCGTCGTATTGGTGTGCGCGCGGCCACTCTGGGGTTAGGGTGCGGGGTGTGGGCGGCCACTTGAAATCTTCAACGTCGTAGTGTTCGGAAAGGTCTCCCTCCCAGCCGGGTTGCGGGGTGCGGAAATGAGGGGGGGCTAGTGTTGCGAGGGCGAAGAGGGCATGCCTGGGTGGGTATTTGATTATAGGTGCATTGGGTTTGTGAGCTGGCTTTTCGCGGTGCAGATCATCTTTCCCTGGTCCGGGGTAATCGGGGTCGTTGAAAGCTTGGTCGCAGTCATGAAAATGGTCGTTGACATAGTGAAAGAGATTTATGGGACGGGGTCGAAGTTCGGGCTTTTCCTTCATGCAGTCTTGGACGAGCTTTATTAATTGTTCGCTGTATCCTTTAGCTCCAGGTTTATTTACTCTGCTTTTGCCCTCTGACAGAGAGTATCCGTACGTCCTTGGAGCCCGGTTACTATACTCTCCAAAGTAATCGTCGCACCAAGCTGGATCTTCGGGATGCATCTCATGTTGAGCAAAGTTTCCTCCGTGCATGAGAAGACGGATAATGTTCGCAAATTGGAATATGTTGCTACATGAGCCATGGCGGACTGGATGTACATGCTCTGTGTCAGGGATGAGTTGTTCCTATAGTGAGATTATGAGTATGCTATGAGAAATACAAAGGAGCTCTTCTAACTCACGGGAGCCTGGTAGCCCGGTCGGCCATTCCTTTGGATTGGACAAGTATACCTCCCGGCACGTTGTTGTGCAATATACTGAGGAACCTCGAGCGCGTCCCCGAAATCGCATAGCTGTGAGAATTGTTATTCATCTTTCCAAGAGGCAAATAGAGTAATACACACTTTAAGTACCGGAACACGGTCTTTCTGATGATTCTTATATCCAATCAATACTACATTTGACGTCAGAAAAGCCAATCGTCACATTTCTACATGGGGAACTTACTATTGCTTGGCTGAATATCGTAATGACATATCTCCACGTTCCGTGAATCCCAAAAAGACCGCCTCTGACGAGAATCTCTCGGAATCTCACTGCCACACTCCATCATCATAATCATCCTCACAAACTGCCTAAAGATGATCCATATATCAATCTCTTCAATGAACTCAACATTATTCTTATCGAAGACATCTAAGTCATAATACCGAGTCTGATCCTCGGGCGTAAGAGTGATCACAATACCAGGGCAATATTCTAAGAATGAGATCACATTCTTATCTTCGATTGGTTCGTTCTCACCATCGCCAGGCGGCACTACTTGGTCACAATAATGCCTTATAATATTTTGGGGCCGGTCTGGTATGCAGTCGCGATTCTTATAAGGTTTCCAAGCATAGTATCCAGAGAGATATTTGAGAAATCGTCCTTCATGAGCGAACCCTTTATAACCTTCCGGATAGCCATTGGGTCGACCTCCTGCAGTAGGTCGTCGAAAGTGGATCTTGGCAACTATATCTTTGGTGTGAGGGGGATCGTTATCTTCACCTTCCCTGTCTTCGTATTTGAAATGCGCAATATATGCTCTATCACTTGTGCGGATGCGACCCTGAAATTCCCACCTGTCTCCCAGACGGACTTCCCAACTTGGCTCGGTCCTCACAAATTCTCGAAGCCCTCCTCTCTTTTTAATTGGATCATCCAAGGTAGTCATGGTGAGGAGTTCGTGATTTCTGGAATTTACATTAATTTGCTGGAAGTGATTTGATGCCTTTGATTTGAAGGAAGCCAGTATGAAATGTATTGCTTGAAACAAAGGCCACATCAAAATAATTCCTACCTTGAATGAAATCCTGCAACCGGTTGAGATAGTACAAAGCAACTTGCTCGATACAAAAATGATAACCGGATCTGGCTTATCCAAACAAAGGTTTCCAAAATCCACATTGTATCAATCTTCAGGTTTGTCTTTTTTCAAGCGAACTTCGCTCGAAGGATAATCATCTTGTTGTGGACATAGTACTCAGATGTGCAATTCAAGATTTGACATCTCCCATGGTAATGATAAAATATTGAATAAAAGGCTTGATAGAGACGGTATGTCTTTCAGACATCCTGATATCCAGAGAGTGAAGGATAGCTGGCGATTGTAGTAAAGAGTTGAAGAATGAGTTGAAGTTTACGAAAATTGAATGCCTACTTCAGATTAGGCTTGGTGTGTTTCATTTCATCGAATGTACCAATTTTCTTAACAACAATGACAATAACGGAAGGAGCTAAGTTACATGAGATACTGAAGCTCAGGTTTAACTTCAAAACTTCTCAACACTCAATTGATCAATACCTAGGTTTGCGCAAGATAACGAGAATTTGATCTCATGAAATAATATTCATCTCTTTGAGATTTGAGTGCACTAGGAACACTTATATCCATCATCTTTCAGATTTGTATTGAGCTCGTATGTACATATATCGGAAAACTCGACAGTCGTTGATCGTGACTCCTCACAATAGGAACCATGTCAGCGTTCATGCCACACCAAAAACCCCCTTATAAGGATAATTCATGCTACATTTTCTACCCCCTACCTTTTCCTTTTGCTTTTAACATCATATTGCTAGATTCCGACTAAAGTAATATGTACAAACAATCAATTCTTATCTCTTTCACCGCACTCGAAGTATACCACCATATGTACTGTGTTCTATACATCTGTAAGATTACATTCGCTAAACCACCAGGAACCATCATGTCTCTACATCAGCGAAAATTTGATTATCATTTCAAAGAACTTTAACAATTCATATATCTTTTTAGTATAATATTAAATGATAACAATTCAAACGATTCAAGTAAAGAGAGCCCAAGTTTTCGTTTGGTCTTTTCGGATTTTGATATATATTCTGGATTGGAATTAATAGTTCAATAAATGAGTGCCCAGGTGTTATTGAGATAGCCTCAAAAAGATCAATTTCCGTTACTAGTCGATGAACGAACTAACGGGATACTGCAAAAGGAATTGACTTATGAGTATCTTTTATATCAATTTATATATCTTAGAAATTGTTAAAATCATTTATTTAAAATAGAATAATCAGAATGTGAAATTTGATATCAAAGAGAAGAATGAATTTGTTAAAAGTAGAGAATTGTCCCCTCAATCCATGCACCCACTCGAGCCACTTACTGGTGCGCCTGCTTTTTTCGCTTGCGTAGAACACGCTCCACTATCCCACAGCTGTCAAATTAACCAAGTGGAGACACATTGATCTTAAAATATATACTGAATTTGCAGGTGGTTTGTCATCAGAACAACAACTGACACAGCCCGTTTGGCTTAGCGGTAAAGCGCATCACTAGTATTTGTACATGATGAGATCCTAGGTTCGATTCCTAGAACGGGCATTCGCATGACATTGGTTTACAAACACAAAATTATTTTGCATTTTTGGTCTCAGATCTAGACATGAAGGGGGAGGGGAGGATATGGTTCGATTCCTCAAGCGGGCAATCGCACAAAAATTTGACTTTTTCTTTTCAGAGTTGATAACTCTGTATAAGATAGGTATTTTGCCAAAGAAAAGATTCGTTTCTTCCCGGGAACTACTGCCCCTCTCCCTCGGCATGGTTCGAACCGCAGGGTTCTGGTGGTTCTTCACGTCTTTTACGAATCTCCCAACATTCATTCCTTTCAAGGTTTATTATGTATTATGTGACTTGTTGTTGATTGGTCAGTTTTTGTTGCAAAATAGCGAATAATATATTCTTGTAGCGGTAGTATGAATCAAATTATCGGCTAGCTAAGAGGTCAAATAATTTCAATCTTGTTTCCGTAAATTTCAGCTCATCAAATGAAATTTTGCTGTTATGGTTGAAAAATTATCCAGCGACTCATATTTACTTCACGCAGCCTAATATCAAGGAACTCGGTCAATCAAATGAAATTTGGCCATTCCGCTTGAGGTATCCTCTAGCAACTCATGTCTGCTTCACTCCTCGCTCAGTATCAGCCTCGCTCTGAGTAATGATGGAGGGAGTTGTGCTTGAACCATCCGCCTTGAGCTCTATGGCGATGAAAGCATCTGCCCGTCCGTTAATTGGCTTTGAAACTGTGAGGCCAGCCCAATTTTCAGTCATCTGAACAATGAAAGTATCATCATTCCCATCTGTGTTTGCTTTTCCGTTCAAATTCAAGGCGAAGGATCCTCCTGAAGATATGAAAAATCTGTCAGGATCAGCGTAACCGGCAGTCCCTTGCGGAGAAATGGTGAACTGCATCTCGTTATTCACAATCTCTACTTTTGCTTTGAGGTTCTGAGGGATGCTATCTCTTGTGATCGACCAGTGTGAATCGGAAGTTGTATCTTGACTCCAACTGCTACAATCTGCATTCCAGATACAATGATCATTCACAGCCTGCATTCTCAGAAAAGTAGCCTTAACTGATTTAAAGGCTAATTTTGCACCAGATTTGTTCGATCCTTGGAGTGTGAGATTCGCTCGTTTTGAGTCGGCGTCGTAGGTCACCGAGCCCGTCCAGGTGATATGTGGAGTATCTTTGGTGACAGATGTATCAGAAGTATAAACCACATTTGTAGCTGTGTTTGTATTCTGGGGGTGATCGCCTGGCGTAGAAATCCAGGTGACTCGACTCGCATCTGGCCTACTTCATTGTTAAAATATACTTGCGGGTTAGTTTATATTTGAGATGTTTTGCTCACTCTAGATAGTGAATGGGAATAATGATATCGCCCACTGCGTTCAACGCAGCGGTTCCGAACTCAAGCTCATTCTTTCCTGGGCACGCCACTTTGATATCTGGGAAACGGAGCAGGTCGGGTATTTGCACAAGTATTCCACCAACCATTTTCCTATAACCCCTCAAGAAATAATCCCAGCTCGATTCTGGATCTGAAGGGACCACAGAATCGAGATCTGAGGGAACTAACAGCTGTTCACCGTCCACTTCTTTGAGGATACATTTGCCGATTTTTGCAGTGGGGTCATCCGAATCTAATTTGTCCATATTAAATGTGGCCGTCCAGTCTACCTCATGATTAAAATCACTTTAACAGATTAGCATCTGTACTGATTCAAGAGGCTTACATATAATGCTTACGGATACCATTGTGCAACATTGTCTACATCTTCTTGGGGCCAAGTGATCGAACCAAAGTACTTAACATGTCCGCTGAGTGTAAAAATGGGGGAATCTGGCGGCCCGATGCCTAAATGTACGGATGTCTCGGCAGTCAAAGTGTAGTTGGCCTTGAAAGCTCCATCAGAGGAGTATATCTCGTTTCCTAGTGCGGATACTGACTTCGGCCAGCAATACTGAACATCAGAGGACTTACTAAGATCATAGTATCCTTCTTCAGATTGAAATTGTTGAAGATCGTTGTATTCATCGTTGGTCATGTCATCGATCTTGGCAAACCTTTGTGATAAATACACTGTATTCTCACCAGGCCTTTTGTCAATCACATGAGGCGGAAGAGGGTAGGCAATTACCTCTTGGCAGATACATTGCACAAGGTAGTGAAGAGTACCATCAGGGGACGCACTGCTTTTGATGGCAAATGTTCCCAGAGACTCGTCTTTTGAACCGTCTCCAGGCCATGCAAAGTTTCCATTAAATGGCAAAGGATCTTCTGGTAATGACGAACCATGATCAAAATCAATCTCGCAAAAGCAGAGACAATTATAAGGATTCCCTGTTCGGCCAGTCATGGGGGATCCGGTGTCTTCCACACCCCATTTATCTGGGGTGATATATGGGTATTGTTGCAATCGAAGCATTTTTGGAGCTTAGATCAAAGTCAGAAAAACAAATTTGGAAGATGCTTAGAACAGATTTACCGATGTTGACTTCGTCTTCACTCACTTCTCACACAGTCAGCATTGGCTAGTGGAGATGGTTGGGGAAGGGAAAATCACCTTTGGGCCTAGGTATATCTACTTGCATATTTTGCATGAGAAAAGATGCGTGTTTATTTGAGAGTCCTAACTCTCGCATAAACTGCTGAACCTGACTATACAATGCATTGTTGCTTGAATCTGCTGCCCACTTATCGAGATAAACCTTGGTTCCATCTTGGTCTGTCAAATAGGATTCTTCCCATACAGGACTGCCCCAATCAAGATCTGCAAATAGATGGTTAGCTCTTCTTTAACAAACATATCGGTCAACGAACAGGCAATGATGGCTAAAAGCCGATGAATAGAGTATTCTCCTGGACTGAGACCAATGGCACTAGATTGCGTAGAATTCACGGTCTCAGGTGTGTCTTCGAGCGCGGCGACCTGATCTCTTGTCCCATTGAGGGTGGCTTCTTTGGGCCAGACGAGGTTGAAAATGACGACCCAGCTATCAACTCTTTGATAAGTGTTCTGGCCAAAATAGATTTGGCCTTTGTCAAATCTGTCATGAGAATGAAATCAATACAAAGTTTTTCCTTATTGAGCGCAGAGTGTATATTTACCGAAGTGCCAGCTTGAAATTGAGACTATTCACAGTCTCCACATCAAGCTCAATTTGAGGCGCCAGCATTGTTGATCTCAATTGGCCATCTGACGCTTGTTCATTCTCCCAAAGCAGTTCACCTGCTGAAGATGGCCGCTTTGCGAAAACACTCTCCAAGGCAGAGTTGATAGCTTTCTCTGATATGGCACATACATGCTTAAAGCCACCAAGAGATAAATATCTGGGATTA